CAGTGGTCAGCCTATCCCCAGAAATGGAAACGGAGATGTTGAGGAAGGGAAGGGAGGAGTCACAAATGGTGAGAGCAGGATGGAGACTTGAAGCAAAATTGATCATTTTTTCCAATTCAGGATGGGAGTGCGAAGCAGACAAGGTGTCACTGGACTTGAAGTGTTAACTCTGCTCTTCTCTCTACAAATGCTGTCCAACGTGCCCTGTTTCTCCAGCACTTTTTAGTTTTTGTTTTAGATTTCCAACACCTGCATTTCTTTGTTTTTATTAATTTACTGTTGGACTTGTTCAGATGATCCACGGAAATGTGTGTATGAATTTAAGAGCCAACAGAAGCTTGCATTTGGAGTTAATTTAGAAAGGAGGCTGGGTGCAATTTAATGAAAGAACTGTGTTGCCTTGATACGTGATTCAAGGTGAACACATCTTTCGGATGAAAAAGTGTTCAATTTGGACAGATTGTGCATTTCATCCTGAGAAACTATTCAAAAAGAAAATTTCCTGGCAATATGTTGCAAGATGATTAGTTATCTAAGCAGTTATTTCCCTGAGGTTTTTATTTTTAAACTTAGAGTAGGCCAGTGTTGAATAAATCCAATTACTACCATTCATTGGTGTGAAATAGGATTATTACTATCTTTGGGAGTCAGTATGTCTAACTGTCTCTCTATCCATCTAATAATCCCTTAGTCCAGTTCATTATTAATCTTTCAAAAAACCTGTTCTATCCTCCTGCTACCACCCCATTTAAGTGCAAGCTGAGTGACCAGGATATCAAAAGTATGCTTATATTCTGTATTATTCTTGTATTTCATGTAAAATAAGCCAGTTTGCAATGCCTGCAAGAGAGATTTCTCTTTTCACCCGTTCTTGGAAATGTTGGCGAGGTAGATCTAAGTCTCACTAACCAGGGCATAGTTCACAATAATATTGTGAAAGTCACTGACAATTGGCAGTTCTCCTTGTGTGAATCTCACCGAATGCTGCAATGTCATTGATCAGCTGGGTGAACTCTCTGGGTTTCTTTTTGCTTATGTTTGTATTACCTTTTTTTTTGCACCACAAGAGGAGATGCCGTTGGCTGCAACAAGGGAGCCAGATAAGTTGAGACTGAAAATGTTTCGATTACCTTTTCTGGGCTGTCTCCATTTGGAGACAATTGTGCAATCCCTAAAGAAGGCTTATGAGTCACTCAGGATGCTACCGGATTTTGCTATTGTCTAAGGTCACACATCAAATGATCTATGCTATGGAGTGTCTGACATGCAAGATCAATGTTGCAGTCATCTGTTGCCATTTGTGTATGCCACTTTCATTCTCTTCTCGAGTGCAGTTTGACTTCCTTACCATCAACACTGAAGCCTAGATATTTGGAAAAATGGCAAACAAACTTGATAATTGGAAGTCCTGTCCCCAAACATGGCACCAACCCTTTTTGTTGAGGAGGAAAGGGGACAGATGCACATGCATTTTACGGAGGGTGGCTGACCATTTAACTTATAGATTGGCTCCATGTATGTGTGATTTGGCTTATCCAGAAGGGTCAAACGCATCATGAAAAGATTAGACCTGGTAAAAGCAGGTCTGGACTTTCTGGAATCTTTTGGATAGGCGGGATACCCTTCTGGAGAGTTAAGTTACTTTTTGGATATGATTCAGGACAAATTTGGCAGAGGTCAATTACTCTCTTTCAGAGAAGCTGCCCTGTAAGAGCAATAAGATACCCCTTTGAGAGAGGCAAAGTGTTGTTTGAGACTACTTTGAAGTAGACATCAATGAGTATAAGAAGTGCCTAAGCTTATTTACTGTCAAACTGATTAGAACTTTCAAAATGGTCAACGGTTCATGGTCAAAATGGTTAAAAATTAACAGTTTCGGCTGTATGTACAGGCTGAGAGGTGTGAGAAGTGAGGGCTATTGTATGTATTAATGTTTTTTTTAAAAGAATGTTAATCAATTCATGCCTTCCACAGGCCTGCCCTATATCCAGCAGCCTCTGTACTTGTTCTGGTGTTGCTGGGTCTGACTGCTAGAGAAGCCTAGAACCGTGGAATTAAATACCTACTTCCAGGCCACTTTTGCCCAGATCAGATTTGTAGAGTGAGGAAATACTCTGAATCTATGTTTCTGACCCTCGAGTGAACATTTAGGTCTAAGTCTGTTTAGAGGAGAAGTCATTTCACGCAAACTATTGCCATTCTTTACACTAAGTGTTTCTTTACAACAGCTCAGAAAACTGAGATGACTGCAGCAACTATGAAGCTGTATGTGTTATGTCTGATTGTCCTTCTCTTAATCTTTGCCTCAAGAGGCTGCAATCAAGGCTGAGGAGTTAATTGTCCATAGCTGGGTTCTAATGCTCTGATTATTTCTGCTTGAGCCAACAGCCTTGATACATGGAAATTTGAAAGCTGTACCATTTTTATGGCCATTGAACCCAACAGCTTGCCTCTTCCTGGTCTGCCAAAACTGCTGTCTCTATAGGAACAGAAAAATGGGTATAGTACCATGTGCACAATTAAAGTAGCTTAACCATACAACAATTCTGTGTATGATCCCTGGGTTACATTATTGTTTAACTAAGTATTGAACTATGAAGATTCAGCATGGATTATATGTTAAAATATACCAGGGCTCATTTCTAGAGCAGCTCTGTTTCTAACTCACATCCACGGCTATTTTGCTGAAAACCAGCCCGAGGTAAAATCGAAGACCTAGGACTAGATTTTCACGTCATTTGAGGGAGTCTTGAGACTAATTCTGCTGTGGCAATGCTGCCTCTGACTCGAAACTGGCTGGAGGATGGATCTTCTGGGGGTGCAGGTAACCTGGAGACTGACCTGCTGCCTCCAGTCACAGGCCCAAAGCAGAAACGAAGAAAGGTCCAAACCAGAGCAAGCACATTTGACTCTGTTCCCAAAAAGCTTCAACCTGGTGCTCCTGATGCAATCAATGGTTTATCTTTATGTGTTTGAACCTTCAAACCACTTTAAAACCTCCTTTCATCCATATCCCTCGCCCTCATCTTACTCCATCACCCACTTCTCACCCCCTCACCTTGAACACCTCATTCTCTCATTTTCACCCTTTCAGTTCCCTCATTCTACTATTTCACACCCTCAGCCATTATATACTTCATGAACAGAACTTGCAAACCTTATTATAATAGGTGGAATCAGTTGATTAGAACATTAAACTCCTTGGTCTTCAAACCAGTTGTGTACACATAAACAAGTTAAAAAAAAGACAGTTGGCTTACAGCCAAGAGCCCATAACACTCCCCAAATAAACAGACTTCAGAACCACTATCTCAACAGAAGTCTATACTAATACATAAATGCCAAGGAAAAAATTCAACATTTTACACATTGTCATCGTACTACATTGTCCTTACACTCTACCTCGTTATTCATTTGGTAATTTTTTAAAAATTCATTCAAAGATATTTTCAATGTCGTTCTTTTACTTGACAATTTGCCTAGTTGGCAGAAGGAATAAAATGGCAAATATTTTGGTGACGAAGTAGTTGCAGCTTCTAAAGGGTGAACTATAACGAGGATGCAGAGATCCTTCAGCACGATCTCGGCAGGTTGGGTGAGTGGGCAAATCAATGGCAGCTTTAATATAATTTGGATAAATGTGTGGTAATTCACTTTGGAAGCAAAAACAACAAGGCAGACTAGTACCTGAATAGCTGTAAATTGGGAGAGAGGAGTGTGCAGCGGGACCTGGGCATCCTTGTGCACCAGTCACTGAAGGTAAGTATGCAGGTGCAGCAGGCGGTAAAGAAGGCAAACGGTACGTTGGCCTTCATCGCGAGAGGTTTCGAGTGCAGGAGCAGGGATGTGTTGTTGCAGTTATACAGGGCCTTGGTGAGACCACACCTGGAATATTGTGGGCAGTTTTGGTCTCCTTTTCTGAGGAAGGATGCTCTTGCACTTGAGGGAGTGCAGCGAAGGTTTACCAGGCTGATTCTGGGGTCTGATATATGAGGAGAGATTGACTAGGTTAGGATTGTTTTCGCTGGAGTTCAGACAAATGAGGGGGATCTCATAGAGACTTATAAAATTCTAACAGGACTGGACAGTGTAGATGTCGGGAGGATGTTCCCGATGGTGGGTGTGTCCAGAATCAGGGGTCGCAGTATGAGGATTCGGGGTAGACGATTTAGGACGGAAATGAGGAGGCATTTCTTCACCCAAAGAGTGGTGAGCATGTGGAATTCATTACCACAGGAAGTAGTTGATGCAGAACATTGAATGTATTCAAGAAGCGACTAGATATAACACTTGGGGCAAATGGGATCAAAGGTTATGGTGAGAAAGCAGGATTAGGCTATTGAGTTGGACAATCAGGCATGATCGTGATGAATGGTGAAGCAGGCTCAAAGGGCTGAATGGCCTCCTCCTGCTCCTATCTTCTATGTTTCTAATCACAGCACTGTTGGGATTAATCTGAATAAACAAAGATATAGCTGAAGTTATAGTGTTTCATGAGGAAATGCGAAGAAAGCAAAACTACTTTACTTACCTTTAAAACTCTAATACAACTCTACTCCATGGTTCACACCTCCATTGCTACCTGTTTAAAAATTGGAAAATGTAGAAGAAATAGATTCTCAATGAATTCACAATGCGGTTTGTTGCCTTGTTAGTAGAAACATCCAGGTTCTAGGTTCTCAGTCCTTCCCCAGTCCTAGTGAAAATGGCCATGAGCAGAAATGGAAGCAGGACCTCTGGCTGCCCTGCTTGGTGACCAATGTTTCTCTAATCTGCTACTGTTTGATCCTGACTGGAATAATGAAAATCGAATCTCTAGTATTTAGTATAAGGAGTTTACAAAATCAAAAGGTGGCCCTTACTTTCCTATTGTGACTTCATACTGAGTTAATTTGGATGGATACTAGTTTGATGAGGTTCAGCACCTTGTATGACACCAGGGCTTTAGAAATTGTTTATTATACTATTAAGATTATGTGTTTTATTTGTTTTTGTTACAGACAGATAACAATCTCACTGAAGTATGGAACATAACTGGGAGTCAGGGTGATAGATGGAACAAGGGAATGATACATCTGAGAAAGATGCGTAACTTTGAAATCATATTTGAAGGAATCCGCACCAAGAATTTTGGAGGTGGAGCAGCGATTGATGATATTCAGTTCAAGAATTGTGCCCCAGGTATGTAACAAATATTTGTACACATTTCGAATCCCAGTCATGAGCTAAGAATTAGAATAAGAGCCTGCTCATTGAGCAGGTTCTAAACAGTTCGAGGTGTATCTCAATTAAAAATGTTGCTTCAGACAGAAAATACTGCAGTCTTTTTAATAGTACTCCACTGTTGAAATTTCAGGATTTTATACAAGAAATCCAATATGAATGAAAGATAAGAATATGTACATATACATACACATACACATAGAGAGGGTGCTGGTCACCACTGAGCCTGCGTTCAGCCCCCATCAGTAATCATTAACGGATCAAGAATGAAATCCAAGGCTGGAGGGTAATGCAGTGGAGTGGCGAGGTAGGCTGGATGGACATTGTCAGGTCCGGGCTAGCAGAGCTCGACAAAGTGAACAGGGAGATGCAAACATAAAGGAAACCCCCCTGTCTTTGCCCTGTCACCAATCCAAGCAGTAAAATTTGTTGTGCTGCACACTTGACATTGGCAGCCCTATCACAGGTTAAGTCCCAGTGGCACTGGGAAAAGGCTATATAGTGACCAGTAATTTGCATTGAAGAGCCTGGATTGGCCCATGTTGTCTGGGGCTTCCAACACCACTTTCACCACTATAATATTGTGACGGGTATGTGGGTAAGAGCCAGGAATGGCATCCATACCATAGTGCCAATTTAACATTTCCACCCACGAACCTGCTTGGGGCAGGAAGGTGGAGGAACTATAAAATTTAGCCTTATGACTCTCAGAGTTAATGTCTCTAAACTGAAATGTCGGCTAAAACCGAAGTTATTACCTAAATGTAAGAGGTTACGTTTTTGGATCTAGCACAAAATTGGCATTAACAAATTAGCAGCCATTTGACACCTCAGCTGATTTACGTTTTTATTGAAGGGTGTCAATACTTACCAGGATACCCTTTATCCAATCGTCAGTGTAGCCTTCAGTGTTTTCCTGTATGCTGACAGAGTCCTTTGCAGCCAAGTAGAGTGAGAAGAAAATCTGATCCCAATGTGAAAGATCAGGATTAGCCTTAGTCAAATGAAGGGGGAATTGAGGAAGGAAATAAAAAGAGTCTAAGAGATACAATGTAAATTAACTGGCAACCGAAATAAAAAGGAATCCCAAAATCTTCTTTCAGCATAAAGGTAGTAAGATTGTAATGAGAGGAGGCATGATAGGGCTGGTTAGATCAGACAGCTAAAGTGCAGTGCTCAATAAAGCAGTTGGGGTACTATGTTCAAAATGTATTCACCCCTCAAATGACTATATTTCCTCTGAAGAATCCATTATGGGGCAATCAGAGAAAGGTCACCCCCAATACTTCGGAATGTCAGAATTTGTGCTGATCTACTCCTTTAATCAGAGATTATTGGCCAAATAGTCATAACTGCGGAATTGTTTTGAACTGTGTATCAGAACAGTATAAATATCCTAGACCAGCTGACTCCATGGGAATTACCAGGGAAGTGAAAATTCCTTTGGGGCAAATGCCCGTCATCTGGAACCTTCCCCAAACCATCGGCATCCCTGAGTTATAGTCAAAGATTTCAGGGTCTTCTGACTCACTTAAGCTTAGTTGTCATCCAGGGAAAGTTAACAGGTTAAAAACAGCTCAAACTCCCAGATAACCGTTAAGCCAAGACTCATCACTCAGCAGCACCCCGGCAACTCAAACTCCTGACTCCAGACACCCCAAGACCTTGACCCCATGGGACATACTGACTGCATCGGATATGACAGCCCCACTGCTGACCCAACAGCTGTACTCCAGCCACCAACACGACTGCATTCATCAGATTCAAAAGCCCATTCCCCACTCACCGCCCACAAATTTCCTGTCATCTTGAGGACAGATGACTAGGTTGGGATTTTTTTCGCTAGAGTTCAGACAAATGAGAAGGGAATCTCATAGAGACTTATAAAATTCTAACAGGACTGGACAGGGTGGAAGTAGGGAGGATGTTCCAGATGATGGGTGTGTCCAGAACCAGGGGTCACAGTATGAGGATTTGGGGTAGACGATTTAGGACAGAGATGAGGAGACATTTCCTCACCCAAAGAGTGGTGAGCCTGTGGAATTCATTACCACAGGAAGTAGTTGATATCAAAACATTGAATGTATTCAAGAGGCAACTAGATATAGCATTTGGGGTGAATGTGATCAAAGGTTATGTGGAGAAAGCAGGATTAGGCTATTGAGTTGGACGATCAGCCATGCTCATGAAGAATGGCGGAGCAGGTTCGAAGGGCCGAATGGCCACCGCCTGCTCCTATCTTCTATGTTTCTACATTTCTATGTATCTTAGCCCCACACTTCCATCATACATTTATCTTCTCTCAGTCACTTTCAAAGTAGCTACTGGATCTTTAAGTCGCAGTATGCAGCACACTGCCCTCTCCAATCTTGTTCTCGTAAAATCTTGGATTCATTTCCACTCCTTTGGAAGACAAGTCTCCAGGCCAGGAAATATGTGCAGAGAACTCATCCAAAGAGAAGTGTCTTATTTTTGTTTTGTCAGTTTTGTAAATCAGGTTTTCCATTGAAGGACTATGCTCCAAGCATCAGCCAATTGGTTAGGTAGAATGATAGAGTTGTCAAGGAAAAGAAGCTACTAATGTCATGCGCTCTAACCTGCTCATCCTCTGTTATGTACTAATTTTAACGACCACACAGAATCACAAAAGTGTTATGCTGTAGATGGAGGCAATTTGGCCCATCGTATCTGCACTGGCGCTCCAAATGCACATTGTGACTTAGTGTCATTCTCATGCCTATTCTCCATACCGTTGTACACTGTTTCCACACAAAAACTCAACCAATGCCCACTTGAATGTCTGAATGGAACCTCTCAGTCATGTTACTGGAAGTTTGATGCTCACTCTGAATCGTCCCCATCATTGACATTTTGAAGACACATGATTGAAGTCCTGTTAAGTCTGTGACTTCCTCTATGTTGAAAGTGTTAACCAACTCTATTAGGCTAACATAACTCACCTCACTTAATTCTTTTTTTCTGTGTGGGTCTCACCACGAATCTGAGAAGTTACTGTTATCTCTTGAATGGTTCGCCAATCATGATCTCTTCACGGATCAATGTTTGGACGGCTGTTTATTTTTGGCCCAGTTTTCTCTTGGAAGTTGTAGCTCTCCTCCAACTGTGAATTGATCAAGGTAACTTCAATATTCAACAATTGAACCAGATGAAAATTTGTAACACAACTGCATCTTACAGCATTTACTAGAGTTTGATTTTACCAGCCCTTTGGAGATGGCTGGGAGGCAGGAAGGCTGCTATAATTATCCAGATGGGAAATCCAATATCTTTTTGCCACATTTGTCTGTTACGAGTGGCAGGAATCTCTGTGATGCAGGCATCCTCTGGGTGGCCAATAGCAGCAACAAATTGACCACATTGGGAAACCACCACATAAATCCTAACAGCCTTCAATCAGGTTGCTAGGGCTGCATGAGGGGCTACTCTTTACAGACACTTTATGCCCATGGAGGGGTCCCTAGTAGCAATCTCCATTCACACAGAAACAACACCACTACTGAAATATAAAGACACTCCTTTCCCAAAATCATTGGAGCATGACTGTTTTGTTACGTCTCACCATTAATATGTCAGTATACCTTTAAGAGACATATTTGTGATGTCATCACTGCATCATAGCATGATGGTATGAGGGTATATAAAAGCCTCAAACCCCAGCTTCTGATCGCTTGCACCATGACACTCTCAGGAAGTATATTTCTCTGTTGTGAACCTCAATACCAACACATGCACTAATGTGCCTGAGGAATGTAATGTTGTACATAACAGTTGTAATGAATGTCTGCTGAATTCATCAGTTTCTTCTGTTATCGGAGATAATATAAACGTGCCTGCAGCTGGTAAAGTATCCTGATGGGGAAAGCATACACCAGTCACAAGATAACTTGTCTGTTTGTGAAGATCACTTTGCATCAGAAAGATGGAGGCGTCCTCTCCTTCATCTTACAGCATGTCACATTTATTCCTTGGGGAATGTTGTATAATCTCAGCTCCCACAGCAGCCAGTTTTAAGGAAAAAGAAACTTATATTTATGTAGCAATGTCTTCATGTCTTTTAAGTCCTCAGCGTGTCTTAAAATCCTTGAATTTCTTTTTAAAGTGTATTCACTGATATTTTGTAGGAAAATGCAATGGCAAGACCCTACCAAAATAACAGCAAAATGAACTGTTGTTTTATTAAGAAAATATCCATTGTGGAATAAAGATTGACTAGAACACTGAGAGAAGTGCTAATCTCGTCATAGAGTCTCTATTGTTTACTTGGAAGGTTTTTGATTTAAGGTCCGATTTCAAAGACAACACCTCCAACAGGATAGTATTTAAGCATCACCCAAGACTAGGTACTTGGCACAACCCTCCAACTTGCAACCAACCAACAATGCAGTGTTGAGGTATTAACCATTTAAAACCAGTTCTGCTGGGTGGGACATTTCATCTGTTTGCCTGACAACAGACTCCTGAAGTAAACGCTGTTGTCAGAGCACAGGCACAGCAGGAGGATAGTGATAATGTTTTGTGGATGTTGTCAAAGCATCCCTGAAGAGGTTGAATATTGCTGCAGACCAAAACAGAGGCTAAACAAAACAGAGAAGGTTTACTTGCAATGGTAACAAACATATCAAGAAACTTCGTTAGTGCAGAAGTAGGCCATTCAATGCCTCAAGCCTGCCCCACCACCGAACGAGGTCACAGTTAACCTGTTTGTGCTTTAAATCCATAGTCCCATCCTCTCCCAATAACCTCTGATTCCCTCTAACAATAATCTCCACCTTAAAAATATTCAATGATCCCACTTCCACCACCTTCTGAGGCAGAGAGTTACAAAATCACACAATCCTCTGACAGAAAAGAAATCACCTCATCCCTGACCTAAAGGCTAATGCTTAATTTTTAAATATTGCCCTGTACTTTGTGACTCACCCACGAGAGGAAGCATCTTTGCATGGCCACTTTGTTAAGACTGTTCAGGATCTTACATACTTAAGTTACCCCTCAATCTTTTAAATTTTAGGGGCAACAAAACAGTCTGTCCAACCTATTCTCATATAACAACCCACTTCTTCTAGATATCAAACTAAGAAAGTACTTCTAAACCACAGCCAACAACATTTACATCTTGCCTTAAATAAGGACAACAAATCTGCACATTATTCAAGATGTGGTCCACCATTGCACGATATAATTGAAGCATAAATTGCTTGATTTAATTTTAAATTCCTATCATCATCACATACAGAGAAGAAATCAAAACATTGGGGAGAATCTGCAAACCTCTGGACAACTAATCTACTGACCCTTCGCGCACCATCTACTCCACATGTGGCAGAAGCTGCAGGTGATATTTATCAGCTATCTCAGAACCCGTCAAGCCAGATTAGAAGCAAATCATCATCAAGCAGCAGCTTAAGAAGGGATTATGTATCAGAGTAGGAAAGGGGTTTGATCTAGACTGCTAACCACTGAGCGAAGGCTGACACTTTGCTGTCACCCTCTGCATATTAATAAGGCTTTAGATATTAAAGAGCAAATTACTATCTTACTGCCACAGTAGAGTATGTTCCGCAACAGGAGGAGATCGGGAGTAAGGCAACTGACCACTGAACCAATTCTCTGATCTGAATTTATGAGCCGTTTGCAGGAACTAAACTCATATTTATACCTTCTGCAGCATATTCCTTTGATAATATGTTTATCTGAGCTTTAATAAAGGTAAAAAGCAAATATTAATTTGCAGTAGCAGGCATGATTGAAGACATACTAAAGTTAATGTACTGTAAGTCATTTCTTCCTGCATCTATATTTAAATGTAAGATAAACCGAGTGAGTTTTCCCCAGCCTCTACAATGGTGGGATTTTGATGGGATGGGCGTTCCCAACCATCACAACACTGCATTTCAAGGTGAGCAACATATAACTCCATCGATTGGCTTTTAAATAACATTTAGTAGAAGAAGGGACAAAATGGCTGCAATTCTTGGGAGACTGCAGCTATGAAACTGGGAAACAGAGAATGAATTGACTGTCCTGTAATTAAAATTTAAAGCCTCACATTACCTGTCTACAGGAATGCACAGAGTTTTGTGCATGTAGCATTTCTGTGATGCTAATAACGTGAGCTTGTCATCTGACCTATGCTAATTATATGTACTTTGTCACAATATATCCATTCATTCTTGGATTAGATAAATTGGATATTTGTTGTTACTTCGAGCCGGGTATCTCAGAGTGAGATCGAAAGAACCAATTCCCCAGCCAACTTCTCAACCTATCAACACAAGTCCAAAGGAAATCCAGTCTCCTACGGTCTTCCAGAAGCCTTACAGTGCAGTATTTAAAGAAGGCAGCTCACCATCACCTTCTCCAGGGAATTAGGGATGGGCAATAAATGCTAGTCAATGACAGCCATCTCCCACCAACAACTAATTTTAAATCATACCCTTAAAATTAAACCCCTTTGGGTGAATGTACTTAGGATTTGGTTGCAGACATGCTCACTGAGCCGGTGTGTCTGATTGCAGATGTTTCATCACCCTGCTGGGTAATATTGTCAATGAGCCTCTGGTGAAGTGTTCGTGTTCTGTCCTGCTTGTTACTTATATGCCTCGGTTTGTTGGGGTGTTTGGTAATACTTCCGGTTCTTTTGTTGGTGTTTGGGTATAATTCAATGTTTTTGTTGATGGAGTTCCAGTTAGAATACCAGGCCTCCCTGGCGTGTCTCTGGCTTGGGTGATTATGGATGTGTTGTCCCAGTCGAATTCATGACCTTCTTTGTCCGTGTGTAGTGAGATAAGGTGAGAATTGGTCGTTTCTCTTGCCGGCTAGTTGGTGTTTGTGTAACCGTATTGTCATTTTTTTCGGGTTTGGCCTATGTAGTGCTACTCAGACCCTGAGGTATCAAAGTAGACCACAAACCAAAAACCACCATACAACAGCTGCTGACGAACATAAAGGATCCCATCCCCAAAACCAGCAAAGCCAGTGTAATATACAAAATACCATGCAAAGACTGTGAGAAAGACTGTGACTACAAAAGCCAAACCAGAAGAAAACTGACAATACGGACACACGAACACCAACTAGCCACCAAAAGATACGACCAATTCTCACTCTATCTCACTACACATGGACAAAGAAGGTCACAAATTAGACTGGGACAACACATCCAAAATCGCACAAGCCAAACAAAAACACATCAGGGAATTCCTGGAGGCCTGGCATTACAACCGGAACTCCATCAACAAATACATTGAATTAGATCCTGTGTACAAACCACTGAACAACAGAACCGGAAGTAATACCAACCATCCCAGCAAACTGAGGCACATAAATAACAAGCAGGACAGAACACCAACGCTTCACTGGAGGTGCACTGACGATGTTACCTAACAGGGTGATAAAACGTTTGCAACCAAACCCACCAGCTCGGCAAGCATGTCTACAACCTCTTCCGCAACTCAAGCTACAAATTTTCTTGAAAGTACTTAGGATTTATTAGCAAATGTAATAAATGTTAATTTAATTCTGTTTATTTGCATTATTTCAGATTGGAGTTTATCAGGCTTCTGTCTGGCTGCAACCGATTACAGCTGTCAAAATGCCAAGTGTGTTGAGTCTGAACTGGTCTGCGACTACAAACCAGATTGTGAAGATGGATCAGATGAGTTTGACTGCTGTAAGTAGGTTTACTTTAACAATTCATTTATTCAAGTTAATTTTCAACATAACCCAACAGTCAAGCAAAAAAACATGATACGCAGGTATAAATTATTATTGGATACAGATGAATGATTTGCTTCCAGTTTGTCCTTCAGTAAGTTTTCCTGTACTTCTATCATATAAATCCTGAGCCATAATATCACAACTCTCCTAAATAAACGAGCCATGTTATGAGCAGAGGAAATCTAAACAATAAATTACCATTCTTACATGTGACATTTTCATTAGTGGATATATATTTTCAATTTTGATTTCCAGAAAATTTTTCAACATTATGTGCTCTATTGACTCGACATTTGAACATGTGTATATGACACTAATGTGAAAAATCTATAAAGTCAATTTCAATTTTCATATATTGGAATCAATTACATATGCAGATATTATTGATAGCAGCTTCTACCTTTTGTTGAAACCACTTCTCATGCACTTAAAATATTAAAAAGAATTTTGACTGATTCTATTGAAAATTTGTTCCTTTTTGATTTTATCAGATATATGATGTAATTTAATATATTCCTCTACCTAGTTATAGCCTTGATGCAAAGGGGTACAATATTTGACTGTTGCATTGATTTATCTTCTCGTACCTGAGTGAGGAACAGTCTATTTGAATACTTGTGTACATTTATGGAAACTACTCATTACAGGACTACAAAATCAAGGGAAGGAAAGGTTCAATGACAAGTTAAGGAGATTCTCTCTCGCTGGTGACTGGTACCTGTTTATGACTACTGTTTGGAATAGTTGAGGCTTTAGAATGGACTTTGCCTTTTAGCTTTGATTTTATTTTGTCTTAACTCAAGTTCCCATGTATAGGAAGTCCCTTGCTCTTCACAAAAACAATTAAGGAGAGCAAAGAGGGGCCATGAGAAAACAATGGTGGGAAAATTAGGGAGAATCCCAAGATATTCTTTCAGTAAGAAAAGAATAGGGACATTTAGGCAGCGAGGGGATAATCTGTGTATGGAGCTAGAGAACTTTGGTAAGATGTTAAATGAATACTTCACTTCTGTCCTCACTTGTGAGGAGTATGTAAGTACAGAATTTGATGAGAGGGACTGTGAAGTTCTTGAGTAATTTGATATAGGAAATGAAAAGGTATTGAGGTTTTGGCAGGTTTAAAAGTGGACAGATCCCCAGGTCCAGATGAGTTGCACTCAGGCTGATGCAGGAGGTGAGGAAGGAAATTACAGGGGCTTTGGCCCAAATTTTTAATTCATCTCTGGCCACAGGGAAGGTGCCAGAGGACTGAAGGATAGCTGATATGGTTTCACGTTTCAAGAAGGGTGGTAGAGATAAACTAGGGAATTACACACCAGTGAATTTCATGTTAGTGGTAGGGAAACTATTGGAGAAAATTCTGAAGGAGAGAATTAATCTCCACTTGGAGAGGCAAGATTTAATCAGGGATAGTCAGCACAGCTTTATCAGAGGGAGGCCACGCCTAATAAATTTGACTTAATTTTTCAAGAAGATGATTGAGTGTATAGATGAGGATAGTGCAATTGAAATAGCTTATATGGATTTTACCAAAACCTTTGACAAGGACACACATGGAAGACTGATAAAGAAGACAAAAAGTACATGTGATTCAACTTCACAAGAAGGATCCAAAATGGGTTTAGTGGTAGGAGTCAAAGGGTGGTGTTAGAAGGTTGAGTAAAGACTGGTGTCCAGTAGCATATAAGAGAAATCAGTGCTGGGTCCCTTCTTGTTCACGATATATAAACAATATAGATGAGAATGTGGAGAGGATGATAAGTAAGTTTGTGGAAGACCTGAAGATTGGCCAGTTAGTTTATAATGAGGAAAAAGGTCTTAGCGTCCAGGGAGATATAGGTGGGCTGGTCAGATGGACAGAGCAGCGGTAATGGGAATTTAAACCTGAAAGGCATGTGGGGATGCACTTTGGAAGAAGTAATAAGACAAGGCAGCACTCCATGAATGGCAGGAAATTAGAACACTTAGACGAACAGAGGGATTTTGGGATGCTTGTTCACAGTTCCCTGAAGGTGGCAGGACACATTAATAGGATGGTTAAGATGACACTAGGGAAACTTGCCTTTATCAGTTTTGGCATAGATTATAAAAGCAGGGAGGTTACGTTGGAGCTGTACAGGTCCTTGTTTAGGTCACAGCTGGTGTACTGTGTGCCTTTCTGGTCAAAACACTGCAGGAAGGATGTGATTGCACTGGAAGAGGTGCAGAAGACATTCAGCACGATATTGCCCAGTTTAGAGCATTTTAGTTAAGAAGAGAGACTGGGTAATGAAATAAATCCACAGAAGCCGGTATCCAAGTCAATCTTCATTTACCATGTGGAAACTCCTCGTCAGAGTCAACACCCAGAGTGTCAATATCTCTGACACTCCTCTTTTTATCTGTCAGCTTGGGTTTCCTGATTATACCAGATTAACAGGCCCAATCAGGAAACTCATATTCTATGAGGCTCACCTGGCTGACCTTGTTGCAATTATTACATCCCTCCCACTCTGAGTCTGAGGACATAGGCCAGTCCTTTTTCTTGGAGAGCGTCCTGGGGTGTTTTAGAACTGGATAATCTTCCTCCAACTCAGCGTCTGATGCAGGTGGTGTGTAATGCATGGCAGCTCACCTCTCACACCAGGAGATCCTCGGTAGATATTCACTCTCTTCTACCACCAGCAATGGCTCTGATGCAGTTACATCCATCATGTCCATCTCGGATTCAGAAGTCTCGCCAATGCTTGATGGAGAGGGTGAACCCATAGATTCTGGCAGCCTCTCCAACTGTTCCGAGGAGCAAGGCACAGTTTGCTCCCACACTATTTGTGAGTTTGCAGCCTTCATATGGTCCACATGCTTGTTCAGGACTTTCACACCTACCTGAACGTTATATGTCACTTGTCCTGATCTCACATCAACCATGCCTCTTACCCATGCAGGGCCATTCCTATGGTTCTTACACCAAACTTCATCCCCTGAAGTAAACTGTCTCTCTTGCTTATCGGAGCCTTGGGCCCCGCATTGGCATTGGGAAGATCAGATTTAACCTGATGAGGAGTTTTCTCCCCATTAACAACTCTGCCAGTGCTATCCCTGTAGTTGCCTGTGTGGTGATCCAATAATCAAATAGGAACCAGGACAGCTTGTTATCTAGAGAGGCTATACGCTGTTTCTTCAAGTCTGCCTTCTAAGTCTGGACTCGTCTTTCAGCTAGATCATTAGATGATGGACGGTATGGAGCTGTCCTTATATCCCAAATTTCATCTGACTTTAGGAAATACTCAAATTCTCTTCTTGTAAACGATGGCCAGTTATCTATGACCAACACTTACGGGAGTCTATGCATTGAAAAAGAAAGACAAAGTTTCTCTATTGCTGTCCTTATGATTGACGAATGGACTCTATGCACATCCAACCACTTTGAGTGGCCATTTACAATGACGAAGAATATTGAGCCCATGAAAGGACCTGCATAGTCAATGTGTAACCGAGTTACAGCCATTCCCAAGGATGTGGGGGAGCTGCTGGTAATTTTTCCTTGTTGGCATTCTGGGCACTGTCCCACCAACATGCCTATGTCTGCATCTAAGCCTGGTTACCAGACATAACTTCTCATCAGCATCTTCATTTTGGAGACACTTACATGATCCTGGTAGAGTTCAGCTCATATCTGACAACGGCTTTTACACAGGACAATCACTCTTGCTCCCCATAGTAGTATGCCTCTCCTGTGAGTGGCTCTGTCTGGGTCCAAAAAGGTTTCAGTTCTGGTTGTGCCAGCTCTTTGGTTTCCTTCATCACCACCAACTGTTTCAGTTTTTGACAGGACCACATCTTTCTTTGTCTGAAGTCTGATATTGTCAGACCATTACAGACTATTCCAATAGCAGTACCAGTGGTGGTTCATCTGCCAGTGGGCAGCTCAATGCATCCGCATTTTCTACTTGGCCTCCCAGACAGTATTCTAACTTATAATTAGAGGCACTTAGTATTGGACCCCGCTGCTAAATTTGGCGTGAAGCTATGGGCGGCACTGCTTTGTCCTCTTAAGCAGACCTAGCAGGAGTTTGTAGTCTGTTATTATCAAAAATTTTGATCCATAAAGGTATTGGTGGAACTTCCTGACTGCAAATATGACCACTAATCCTTCTTTCTCTATCTGGGCGCAGTTACATTGTCGAAGTCTTGGATGCATATGCTATTGGGCATTCCTCTCCATTGGCCTACCTATGAGCTAATAGGTATATATAGGGAGGCATTGCCTGTCAATACCAGATATTACTCGGGATCATAGTGTACCAACACCTTAGAGGATGATAGCTGTTTCTTCACTTTGTTGAAAGCTATGGCTTGGTTACACGACCATTTCCAAGGCTGATCCTTTTTAGAAGTTGATGGAGACCAGGTTATGTATGAACTTTCGATTATAATTCACTAGCCCAAGGAAAGACCTAAGCTCTGGGAAGCTGCGGTACCTTTGATAGCGGAGATAGTAGGAACTGCAGATGCTGGAGAATCTGAGATAACAAGGTGTAGAGCTGGATGAACACAGCAGGCCAAGCAGCATCAGAGGAGCAGGAAGGCTGACGCCCGAAACGTCAGCCTTCCTGCTCCTCTGATGCTGCTTGGCC